TTTTTGAAACTATGTCTACTATCATTAAATAATTACTGCCTGACTCTATACAACCAGAATCAGGACGTACATTCTCGTAAGAGTATTTCCCAGATACCTGTCCCGCAGTCTTCCACATATACTATAAAAATTCCAGGGGGGGGTGGAATATTTAGCAGAGCTATGCTCTGGACAGCTCCAGCTGAATTTAATCAGGCTCCTGGAGCTTCCTTTGCAGCCTGCAGGAGTTTCTCGTCCCAGCAGAGGGACCGGGGCTGCAAAGCCTGATGACAGGGGAGCTGAGCCCCCCCCCGACAGGCCCCTCTGCCCTCCCCTTACCACCTACCAAAACTTCCCATAACAATGAACATTTAAACCGGCATTATCTGTCAAAATTATAAAGACAGAAGAACTGGACTCGGCCCAGCCTATTTTAGAAAAAACAGCTGGCCAGAGTGCACTGCAGACAGGTCAGTGGTGCTGCAGGAACTTGCCCTTTTGCCTTTCCTCAGCAGTCTGACCTACATGGCACAATAACAGCATTTTGGGGATTTAACTTCTCTCTTGTTTTTTTAAACTTCCACTAAACTGCTGTAAAGATTTAATATGGCCTAATGGCTCAAACTGCTGAGCAATTCCAGAGATAAGCAGTACTTCCAATCCAATGACAAATCATGACTCAGGCCCAAAACACATACCATTCATTTTAAATGTGGGGTCTTTTTCTTTGCTTTCTGGTTTCTGAGTGTGCCCTCGGCCGACCTCCAGCTGTTTTCTGGGGCCCAGGCACCCACTCTGGGCACTGCCCTGCCCGCTGCCGAGCTGCGCCTCACGCTCCAGGGGGCTGTGCACCATGCTGGGTGTGATACGCTGGAGAGGGGCCAGCGAAGACCACGAGCCCGATGACAGGGCTAGAAAACCTGCCCTACAGTGGGAGCTCACGAGCCCTACAAAGGGCTGGCTTGGTCCCCGTCCGTAGGGACCTGCAGGGGACCAGAGGGCTCTTGGGTCTGACACAAGGCACAGGCTGGACAGCCAGAGGAATTCTTGCAGTGCGTTCTTCATGGGCCGCTGTTCAGCCGTGGATGTGAGCAGCTCTACCCTAGTCCAAGCACAGCTGTGGGCCTTGGAGCACTTCTCTGGCCTGGGCTACACAAGGGCCTCGGGTCAGAGGACCACAAGGGTCCCTGGGGCTCAAGTACTACGGGTGACACGCTCAGGCGAGGCGGTCCTGACAGCCCGTTAGCCTGACTTGCGTACCGCACAAACGGGTTGTAACTCCAGTCAAGTACGATGTCACCCCAGAGATGGACACAGCGTGTTGGGAAGAGTCAGCATGGATTCTGCAAAGGGAAACCCTGCCTCACAGATCTACTAGAGTTCTTTGAGGGGGTCATAGGTTCCTCTCAAGTCTTGTTTTCAAGCTTTTCTCTACATGCATAACTATAATTTTTCATTTAAAAAAAATTAAAGCTGAGCATCTCCCATAACAACATGACTCCAGAAGCTGGTGCTTTTATGGCATATATCAAATACCACAAGAACTGCCACCACTGGACAACTGAGCCTAAGCCTGAGCATACGTGGAGGGAATTCTCCATGTCCACCCCCGACTTCAAACAGGCTTTCCCCCTGCACATGCACAGCTGCCAACATTACTAACTCCCTTACCAATCACTGTGGTTCTCTCACAAACTCAGCCAGGGACTCCTCAAGTTAGGGCTACTAACAGGCCAAGGTTCATAGAATCATAGGGTTGCAAGAGACCTCGGTGGCTAGATTTCCAGAAAGCCTTTGACAAGGTCCTCGCCACAGGCTCTCACGCAAAGGAAGCTGTCAAGGGGAAGAGGGAAGGTTCTTTCATGGTCTGGTAGCTCCTTAAAAGTCAGGAAACAAAGGGTAAGACTACATGAGGCGTTTTCAGACTGGAGAGAGGTAACTAGTTCCCTGCTAAAAGAGAGACCAATCCCTACTAAATTATCCCAGCCAGGGCATTATCAAGCCGAAACTAAAAACCTCTCAGGATGAAGATTCCATCCCCTTGCTAGGGAACCCATTCCAGTGCTGCAATGCCCTCCTAGGGAAATAGATTTTCCTATCCCGCACTGGCCTGTTCTGGGACCCAACCCTATTCAATGTATTCATAAATGAGCTGGAGAAAATAGGTGGCAAAATGTGCGATGTTACCAAACGGCTCAAGACAGTTAAAATGATGAGGGGTGCGGAACAGCTTCTGTATGAGGAGAGAGGAATCAGCCTGGGACTGTTCAGCTTGAAAAAGAAACAATGAAGAGGGGATATGACAGGTCTCTAAAATCATGGCTGGAGTAGAGAAAGTAGGGAAGGAAGTGCTAGTCACTCCTTTTCATCACACTTCAGCTAGGGGGTCACCAAATGAAATTAATCCACACACACACCCAATGCAACTAGAGACCATTGCTCCTCAGTCTGTCATCTGTCACTACTGAAACCAGCCTCTCTCCATCCTCTTTGGAACCCCCTCTCCAGGTATTTGAAGGCTGCTATCAAGTCGACCCCCCACCTCCGTCACTCTTTTCTGCAGACTAAACAAGTCCAGTTCCCTCTGCTTCTCCTTCTTAGTCATGTGCTACAGTCCCCTAATTATTTTGGTTGCTCTCCACTGGACTCTCTCCAATGCATCCACATCCTTTCCTTAAGGAGCATTTCTTTATACAACACATGATTAACCCGTGGAACTCCTCGCCAGGGGATGGTGTGATGGTTAGGACTTTAACAGGGCTCAAAAAAGAGCTAGATAGATTCATCGGGGTTAGGTCCATCAATGGCTATTAGCCATGGGTAGGGATGGTGTCCCTTGCCTCTGTCAGAAGCTGGAAATGGGCGACAGGGAGGGATCACTTATCATAGACACCTAGGGCTGGAGGAGACCTCTTTGGAACCTCCCTGCAGGAAGTTGCAGGCTGCTCTCAAATCCCCCCTCACTCTTCTCTTCTGCCTACTAAATAAGCCCAAAGCCCCAGCCTCTCCCTGTAGGTCATGTGCTCCAGCCCCCTAATCATTTTGGTCGCCCTCCGCTGAACCCTTTCCCATGCGTCCACATCCTTCCTGCAGTGGGGGGCCCAGAACTGGACACAATACTCCAGCTGTGGACTCACTAGTGCTGAATAAAGGGGAATAATCACTTCCCTAGATCTGCCAGCAAAGTTCCTACTAATGAACCCCGATATGCCATTAGCCTTCTTGGCTACAAGGGCGCCTGCTGACTCATCTCCAGCTTCTCATCCACTGGAACCCCCAGGTCCTTTTCTACAGAACTGCTACTTAGCCAGTGGGTCCCCATCCCAGAGGCATGAGGAGCAGGAAACTGACTCAAGGGATTGAAGGCAACCAGCACTCAGAGGGTACCACCAAAGCTGCTAGTGCTGCATTATGGACAATGGTGAGAGCAGAGAAGAGTATCATGCAAAGCATGACCACAGCAGACAGTACATCTGGTGGGAAGCAGCACTGGGAGACAAAAAGGGATTCTCAGCCCCCCAGAAGGAGACTGCTGACCACATGTATTTATGTATTCTAATAATTCCCTGGTTTTGAATGGAAGGCCACATGGCCCTTTGATAAGGTGTTAGACTCACTGCAGCCCCCACATGTATTTGTACAAATTCAAGTAAGCAGTAAAATGTATAAATATCTTATAGACACATGTCTCTCTATAAGTTGTCTATATATTTGTGAGTGTGTACACACACACACACACACACACACACACACACACACACAGAGATTTATTTGTGTTTTTAGAGTGGTTCAGGATACATTCCAAGACAAAATTCCAGCCAGCCCTGGAGCCAAGAACATCACTCAGCCAGGCATAATCTACCCTCTCTGCCTATGCATACACTAAATACAGAAAGGGAAAGGTATAAATAGAGACCTACATGAATGGCCCTGTTTCCTTACACAGATAAATACATACACAGCGTTGAGCATGCAGCCACAGGAAGGCTTAGAGAACTGCTTAGAGGCCACTAAACCAAATTCAATGCAAAGGCTCGGATTATACCTAATATTGCACCCCACTTGCACACAAAACATCGCCAGGGATGTCACTTCCTGCACAGATGTGCTCAGCTGTTCTGGGCAATGCTCTCCACCTCTCGACACTGACTGACACACACCAGTCAGCTCACAGGAGTGTGGGATTTGGAAAGTGACTCCCACAAGGACAGAGGAAAGTAGTTGTGTCTTTAAAGAGGAGTGGAATGCAACTGGTGGGGGATAGGCAAGAAGGAAGCAGAACGGTTTGCAAAAGAAGGGACCTTGCACACAAGCAAGTACACATCAAGAGACCCTGATTGTTATTTTATAGAACCAGAGAGTGCTGAGCACTGCACAGAAAAGAGAGGTTACCCACCTTGCACAGTAACTGACGTTCTTCAAGATGGGTGTCCCTGCAGGCGCTCCACTGTACATATCCTGGCGCTCCTGCACTTATCATCGGAACTTTTTAGCAGCAGCATTCCCCTCGGGTGCTGGCACGCAAGCACAGCACTGCTCACGCCACAACAAACGTGCCGATGCACATGCCATCAACCATCCCTCAGTTCCTTCTCTACCACGGAGAGATGTTACGACTGAAGCAGAGGGGAGGAGGGAGGGTCCTGGAGGGCCCACAGGGACACCCATCTCAAAGAACACCAGTTACTGCACAAGCTGAGTAACTTCTCTTGCCTTCTTCAAGGAGTGTCCCTGTGAGGGCTCCACTATAGGTGACCACAGAGCAATACCCTGAGCATCTAGGAGGAGGGGATTCGGACCTGACCTGTGAATGGCAGAGAGGACTGCTGCCCCACGCCTAAAATATTGTGCAGTGTAAGTATCTATTGCGCAATGTTTCGTAATGGTATGCGTGGAGGCCCATGTAGCAGCTCTACAAATGTCCTTGATGGGCATGTTGTGGAGGAAAGCCACCGAGGTGGCCACTGCCCTGGTGGAATGTGCCTGCAGCTGAGTGGGGAGGGGCACCCTGTGTTATCTATTTTGAAAGCCTGTTTCAAAATCGCCTGCCCTTGGGAGCGATCGGCTATGGAAACGAACAGTCTGGAAGAGCACCTGAACGGCTTTGTTCTGTCTAGGTAAAATGCAATCACTTGTCAAGCATCCAAAGAGTTGCGTTGAGCCGCATTAGCATCAGGATGAGGCTTTTAGTGGAAAACAGGTAAGTATCTAGGTTCGCTGAGGTGGTGCTGTGAAACTGTCTTTGGGAGAAGTTTCAGATGTGGTCTTAGTATCACTTTGTCTTTGTGAAAAATCATAAACGGCAGTTCAGCCATGAGCGCAACTAACTCGCTGACCCTTCTGGCTGTTGTGATGGCGAGTAGGAAAGCAACTATCATGCAAAGGTATGACAAGGAGCATGTTGCCATTGGCTCAAATGGAGAGTGGGATAAGATGTTACGGATACGGTTGATATCCCAAGATGGCACTATTGCCTTTACTGGGGGAAAGGCATTAAGAATTTTTTAGTGGTCGGGCGCGAAAAAACAGTGAGACCATCTACATTATCATACTCACTAGAAACAGCCGCTACGTGGACCTTGATGAATTCGAAAGATTGTTTCTTTAAGGAGATACTCCAAGAACATCAGCAGCTATATTATATTAAGTTGAAGTGTCCTGTGCACGGCCCACTTAGAGAAATGGTGCCATTTCTGCAAATAGGTCTTCCTTGTACTTTTTTTTTATTACCGTTCATTATTAGAGTATGAACTTCTTCTGAACAGGTGAGGTTCTGCGTAATCATCCTTGGAGGAGACAGACCTTGAGATGGAGTTTGTGGATGTCGAGATAGAGAACATGACCCTGATCCTAAGACAGTATGTCCAGCCACTGTGGAAGAGAAATCAGAGGAGTAGCTGACAGCTAAGGGAACTAGGTCTGCCTGGGCCATGCGGGTGCCATCAGAATGACCCTGGCCCTGTCCTGTTTTATTTTGTGTATGACTTTGTTGAGGAGGGGAAGGTATATAACAGATTGTGAGAGCAACTGATCAGCATGGCATGTCCCATGGAACTCTTGCCCAGTCCCACTCTGGAGCAATACCTGGGGCACTTTGCGTTGCCAAATATGGTGAATAAGTATATTTCAGCAAACCCAACTTCTGGAAGACGGTACATAAGGCTTGGGGGTGTATCTCCCACTTGTATTTCTGATTAAATACTTGACTTAATTGATCTATGGTGGCATTTTGTTTGCCTGGGAGGAAAAAGGCGGATATGGTGACTTGAAGGTGAATGCACCACTGCTAGAGGGCTGTGGCCTCTTTGCAGAGACAGCATGATCTGGACCCGCCTTGTCGATTTATATAAAGCATGCAAGCAGTACCGTCTGTGAGTATTCTCACGGACTAGCCCTGCATTAAGGGAAGAAAGTACTTGCATGCTCTTCTTACTGGGCAGAGTTCTAAGACATTGATGTGTAGGCCTGATTCTGGAGGGGTATACCTTCCTTGGATGCTGTAGTCGGTGGTGTGTGCACTCCCGTCCTCTAGGGAAGCGCCTCTAGTTATGTGTATGGGCAGTGGCATTTGTTGAAAAGGGACTCCGCAGCAGAGATTGCTGGCCTGCAACCACCATCTGATACAGCCCTTGACTTTCATTGTAGGACTCAGAAGTTTGTGCAAAGGTGCTTGTGAGGCCAAAGCACGTGTGAAGCCACGTCTGCAAGCACCGCATGTGTATCCTGGCGTGAGGGACTACATATGTTGTCACAAACATATCTCTGAGTAGTTGTAGGCACTGTCTGGTGGATATTGTAGGACTATCCATAACTGTCTTTGCTAGTGTGGCTAATTAATAAAGTCTTTGTATTGGTAGCTGCACCTGTATTCGTATTCAATCCAATGTTGCGCGTATGAACTCTTAGCTCCTGAAATGGAGTAAGTTGCGACTTTTGCACATTCATCTATAGGCACAGATTGCTGAACGATCAGATTGTCTCTCTGGTGCAATCCATAGCCCTTTGTTCTGTAGGAGCCACTATCAGGCAATTGTCTAGGTAAGAGAAGATTACTACTCCTGCTTTCCTGAGATGGGTCACTGCCATGACAAGGACCTTGGAGAAAACCCTGGAAGCTGAAGACAGGCCAAAGGGCAGGACTCGATACTGATAGTGTTGATCCTTTAGTGCAAACCTGAGGAATTTTCTGTGCGAAGGTTGAATTCCTATGTGGAAGTATGCATCCTGTAGGTCAAGGGACGAATCCAGTTTCCTTTTTCCATGGCCGGAATTATCGTCATAAGGATTATCGTGGTGAATCGTTGACTTTTTAAGTACTTGTTCAGCCTGCATAAATCGTGGATGGGTCTCCAACCTCTTGATTTTTTTGGAGTGAGAAAGTATCTGGAGTAAAAGCCCTTCCCCTTCTGATGTGCTGGTACAAGCTCTATTGCCTCCACCTGGAGCAGTCTGAGAGTCTCCTGCTGGAGCAGTGTCTCGTGAGGGGGTTCCTGAAGCGGGACGGGGAAGGAGGTTGGGTTGGTGGAAAGGTAAGGAAAGGAATTGTGAGGCCTTTTGCTATAACTTCCAAGGCCCATATGTCTGTTGTAATTATGGCCTATGCATGATAGAAAGGTTGAAGACTGAACCGGTACTGACTGTCTGGTGGAAACTGCGTCAAACCCTCAACCAGATGTTCAAAATGTCTGCCTGCCATTGGAGGACTGAGACGTGGCAGATTGTTCTTGAAGCTGCCTATATTTCTGTTGCCTCTGCCAGCATCCGAGGTCATTAACTCCTCTGGGTGGAGTATGACGATGACCTGCCCCATGGCTTGTAAAGGCGGTTCAACTTATTTTTGGGTTGTGACACATACATGCCCAAGGTCTTGAGCATGGCTCGTGAGTCCTTGAGCAAATGCAAAGCAGCATCCTCGGTGATAGAAAAAAAAACTTCTGCCAGGGGAGGTCTTCAGCCATGTTCTCCATTTCCCTAGGAAACCCAAAGAGGTGCAGCCAGGAGGCCTGATGTATGACCATCAAAACTGCCAGTGACCTTGACGTGGTGTACACTGTGTCCAGTGATGCCTGCAGTGTGGTTTCTGCTATGAGGATCCCTTCATCTATATTGGACTTGAAAGAAGCTTTGTAGTCCTCCAGCAGCTCTTCAATAAACGTCTGCATTTTTTCAAAATGGTAGTATGTGTATTTTGCTAGCAATGCTGAATAATTTGCTATTCTGATCTGGAGGGATGCGGAGGAGTAAGATTTCCTACCCAAAATGTCCAGTCTCTTCCTTGTCGCAAGGAATGGATTTATATTGAGTCTGCTTGTCCCTGATACTGGCTGCATCCTCCACCAGAGAGTTTGTTGATGGGTGGGCGAACAAAAATGTAGCCTATCTACTCTTTGTGAGGTCAGGGAAATCGAGGCTGGTGTTTGCAGCAGAATCTTTCCCAGGTCCAATATGGCCTCATTGACTGGCAAAGCTATTTTTGATGACACCGACACCTGAAATGTATCAATCAACTTGTTGTGTACCACAGGGACCTCCACTAAGAAAATACCAAGGGAATCTGCCATCCTCTTGTACAGGTCCTGACAGGATTTGAAGTAGTCACCCACCGTCAGCAGAGGGGGGCATTATCGATTTATCCAGAGAGGAAGGGGAGCTGTGCAATGGAGGTAAGGTGTCCTCCTCCTGCGTCTCCTCCACATCTTTCATCTCCTCCTGGGTAGTGTCAGATCTGGTGGATGCAAGTGGTTTAGGAACCACTGTGAGGTCTAGCTATTGCTGTCACTTGCAGTGAGTCTGCCTGAGCTCTTGCAGGACTCCAAGGATCCCAACCCTTCCATGACTGTGGGAATGGAAAGGGAGGGAACAATGGAAATGGTTGCCACATCTGGGGTTGGCTTGTTGCTGCAGCTAAGAGGATGGCTTCAGAGAGGAGTGTCTTGGGGAGAAAGACTTCTCTCTCATCCTCACTGTCACTAGAAAAAAGTGGGGCCAAGCTTGATGGTGCAGCCAAGTCTGCTGGGATCCTCTAACATGGGTGTAGCATTGGTACGAAATAGCGGTGTGCCCAGTACTGACAAAACCGCCAGCTCCTGATGTGCAGTGAGCGGCTTTGGTGGAGGAAAGACCAGTGGAGAAGGCTGATGTTGTTGCAGTACAGAGTCGCCCCCTGTATTGAATGTGATTGGAACAGGGGAAAATTTGGTATGTAGTGCCAGTGCCATCTTCATCAGAGTCTGTACCAGCAGTTCCGGTCAGTCCTTAGCCATGGTCTGGTGCAGCTGCTTGGGTACTGACTGCGTCAGTACTGACGTTGGAAGTACCAATGTCATGGGGCGGTCTTCTTTGGCTTCAGTGCCCTAGACCGTGAGGCATGCATCCTTAGAAGGTACTGCCCCTCAAGGTTTGTCCGTACCGGACGTCCCCTGAAGCCTGTACCTTGAGTGTGGAGGAAGGCTTCTGCTGAGGGGATAGTCTGTTGGGTGGCCTGTCTACTAAGGATGACAAGTGCTTCCTCTTCACTGTTTTCTTGGTGGGAGGATCCCTCGGCCAATCCCTGATTAGTAGCTGCTGTTGGGGAGGTATGTGGTGGAGAGGCTTGAGATATTAGTTCTGAGGCTGGTCTCTCTGACTTCTCCATAGTGACAAGTTTAGCTACAGCTCTCTCACCTTCCAAGATCTAGAAGAGAGCTTTTTACAGTGGTGGCAGTTCTTAGGAGAATCATCTTGGCCGAGGCAAAGAAAGCATCGGGCATGCCCACGAGAGATGGAAATGGACTTTCTACATATGAGGCACCTCTTAAATTCTGGAAAGCCTGGCATCACTATTCTATTCCTAACAAACTACTAACAAAGAGAATTTTAAAAAAATTAAAGAGGAAAAAAACGTAACAACTCTAAGAATATCTAATTGCTATCTATTAATTAACAACACTAAGTCAAGAGCTAAACACGTAGTGCTGCTAGATTCCAACCAAGTGTGGAGCAGTTGAGAAGGAACTGAGGGACAATTGACGGCACATTTACTCCAGCGTGTGCCTGGAGTAGTTGAGAAAGAACTGAGGGACGATTGATGGCACTCACAATGGTGCAAGCGGCACTGCACGTGTACTCCAGCACCCAGGCAAACTGCTGCTAAAAAGTTCTGATTATAAGCACAGGAGTGCCAAAGACTTGTACAGTGAAGCACCCACAGGGACAATCTTTGAAGAAGATATAATCCCTATCTCAAAGAATTTACAATCTTCTACTAATCTTTGCAATCTGAGACTTGACACAGCAAGTGAAACAACAGGGACAGGACAGCAAGGCAAACAGCTCAGCCATGTGCACAGCACTGCACTCTCTCTAGCCTGTCTCCTTTGTAAGGCAGTCCCTAGTGCAGGGACTGCCTGGTTCATCAAGCCAGCCAAGGTAGGAAGAGCAGGTGGGATTAAACGGCAAGATCAAGAATGTCAGAGTTGATGTAATGGGAAAGAGGAAGCAGGAACAGGAGCACTTGGTGTTGTGATGAGTTGCAAAGAAGACTATTGACAGGTAACCATCTGCAAAAGGCAGAGGCGAAGACCACTGGGTGTATCTCCCCCATTCATGGTTGGTCGAGAAATCGTGGCTCAAAGCATCTGCCATGGTGTTGTTCACCCCGAGTAGGTATGATGCCCTCAAGGTGACTGTGGTGAATGCACCAGTTCCACAGATGTATTGCATCTGAGCAAAGAGATTGGGACTGTTCATATAAAACATGGTGGTCATGCTGTCCAGGAGTATGCATGCTACTGTGTTGGTAGTGATGGCAGCAAAGTGTTTGCAGGCGTTCCTGGTGATCCAGAGCTCGAGGAGATTGATGTGTTTCATGGGAAAGCCACCTGCCCTGGGCAGTGTGATAGTTTAGGTGAGTGTCCCAGCCTAACAGGGAGGTGTCTGTGGTGATCTGCATCGTTGGTTCGGGCTGATGGGAGGGGATCCCAGCTAGGAGATTGTCAGATGACATCCACCGTTTGAGAGAATGCAACATGCTTTTGGGAATGGTAACTACTTTGTGAAGTGGATGGCGCGATGGCTTGTATATTGTTAGCCCATGTTGTAAGGCACGGAAGTGGAGCCATGCGTGCTGTACAACGTAGGTAGTGGCAGCCATACAGCCCGTAAGTTTGAGGCAGGTGGTAGTAGAGGGGCTCACAATAAGAATGGTCACCTGTGGCACATCAAAATGATGACGTGGAAGGGACGCCTGAGCTGACAAGAAATCGAGACAGGCCCCAATAAACTCTATGTCCTGCATGGGCTCTAGAGTGGACTTCGGCTCATTTATGAGTAGGCCTAGACAACCTATGAAGGAAGATTGAAACCTATGAAGGAAGACTGAAAGAATTGGGCTTGTTTAGTTTGGAAAAGAGAAGATTGAAGGGGGACATGATAGCAGCTTTCAGGTATCTAAAAGGCTGTCACAAGGAGGAGAGAAAAAAATTGTTCTCCTTGGCCTCTGGGGATAGAACAAGAAGCAATGGGCTTAAACTGCAGCAAGGGAGGTTTAGGTTGGACATTAGGGGAAAGTTCCTAACTGTCAGGGTGGTTAAACACTGGAATAAATTGCCCAGGGAGGTTGTGGAATCTCCATCTCTGGAGATATTTAAGAGTAGGTTAGATAAATGTCTATCAGGGATGGTCTAGACCAGTGGTCCCCAACACAGTGCCCGCGGGCGCCATGCATTTGTGTGCGCCCGACAACTGCTCTTTGCCGCCCGCACCCTGGGTGCGCGGCACATGGGGAGCACCGGCCCTGGGTGCATGGCGAATTGGCTGCCCGAGCCCCGGGCGCGCGGCTATGGACACCGGCGCCGGGCGTGCAGCGAATTGGCTGCCCCGGCTCCCGGGCGTGCGACTATGGGGGGTGCCAGCCCCGGGAGCCCAGAAAATTGGCATCCTCGCCCCCGGGCACGCAGCTATGGGGAGGGGGTGCCGGCTTTGGGCGCTCAGCTATGGGGGGGGGGGGGCTGGCCCTGGGTGCGCGGCTCTGCAGGGTGCTGGCCCCAGGCTTGCTGCAAATGGGCAGGCCCGCCCATGGCCATGCGGCACATAGGGTTGCTGGCCCCAGGCACGTGGCTCATGGGGGCGTGGCGTATGCGTGGCCCTGCTCCCGGGTGTGCGAACGGCCACGCCCCCTGGTGCCCAGCAGCTTTAAGTGGTTGGGGACCACTGGTCTAGACAGTACTGGGTTCTGCCATGAGGGCAGGGGACTGGACTCGATCTCTCGAGGTCCCTTCCAGTCCTAGTATTCTATGAAAAAGGCCTTTGGTCCTGGAGACCATATTGGTGGTATCCACATGAGATCACTCTTTTATAAGGCAGTCATCCAGGTACAGGAAAGTGACCATACCCTGCAGTCTGAGGTAAGCCATTACTACTGCCAGGACTTTTGAAAATACCTCAGGAGCGGAAGAAAGTCTGAAAGGGGAGGACTCTGTATTTGAAATGGTCCTGTAGGTCGAGAGCTGCAAACCAGTCCACCTTTGCTCAGATAATAGAAGCCAATGTAACCATCTTGAAACATTGTTTTCTCAGGAACTTGTTTAACCTGTGGAGATCTAGAATCGTTCTCTAAACCCCTGTGCATCTCTCAGTCAGGAAGTATTTGGAGTAGAAACCCCTTCCCCAGAACAAGGCTGGGACCCTCTCTATTGCTTCTAGATGGAGGAGGCAAGCGATTTCTTGCCTGAGAGTTGTGAGAGGGATCCCTAAAGAGGGATGGGGTAGGGGGCAAGACAGGGGATAGTGAAAAGAGGGGATGGTGTATCCTGTCCGGATGATAGCTAACACCCACTGGTCTGATGCTATAGAGTCCCACCGATGGAGGAAGGGACATAGCCTGTGATGAAAAGAAGATATTGGCTTGTTGGCACTGTTTGAATGGGGAGGTCAGGCAGACCCTCAACAAAAGGTTCGAATCTGCTGTTTGGCAGCCTGGGAACCAGAGGAGTGAGGTTGGGGAGGAAGCTTCCTCTGGGGACACTGTCTGGTTTGGCTGAAATCACAGGGCTTCTGTTGTGGATGGTTATAATAGCTGTCCTTGTTTCTGTTGTAAGGTTTATAGTGCATCCAATGATATGGTGGTGTGTACGAGCCCAGCATCCTTAGAACAGTTCTGGAATTTTTACTGCTATGTAGGACAGTGTCCGTCTTGGATGCATAAAAGCTCCTGTTTGTCAAAGGTGAGGTCCTCCACTTTGACTGCAGTTCTCTGGGCACTCCCACTGCCTGGAGCCTGTCACATCACAACTGCTGTAGCTGTTGCCCTAGCAACCATGTCCGCCACAGAGCGAGAACTGAAGAGCTGTGCAGGTGATGGTGTGGCCCTCATAAATGACTACCATAAGTACGGGCCTTTTGGAGTGCAGGAGGTGCTCCATTAAGCCTGACAAGCTTAGAGTAATTATCAAAATCATGGTTTTCTAGGAGCACCGAATAGTTCACAATTCTAAGCTGTAGTGTGGCAGAGGAATACACTTCCCTGCCAAACAGGTCTAACTTTTTGTCTTCTTTGTCAACAGGTGTAGATCTGAATTGTGGAATCTTGGATCGGTTATCGGTGGCCTCCATTATTAGCGAGTTGGACAGTGGATGAGAGAAAAGGAAATCAAGATCCTTAGAAGAAACAAAGTACTTTTCTATTAGTTCTTTTATAGGTCAGTTGGATAGAGGCTGGAGTCTGCCATATTTTATCCAATACCTCCATAATAGCCTCATGGATTGGTAGTGCGACTTTCCCTTGAGGTGGGCTTAATATTTTTAAGGAAGTGGTGTTGTTTTTCCTTAATCTCCTGTAGTTGGACCTCTTGGGAGGCAGACACACTTTTGAAAAGTTCTTGGAATTGTTTGAGGTTGGCTGAGGAGTATGTATCCTCTGGTATAACAGCTTCATCACGTAGCAATGATGAGTTGTCATTAGGTGAATCTCCAGCAACTCCTGTGTCAGTCTGCTCATTCAGGATTTGACCCTCCTCCTCCGAGTTGACTGTGGTTGAGAAGGTATGGGGGGGGGCACAGATGATGGAGGTCTCTTCACTGGGGTGAAAAGAGCCATGAAGCAGCACCTGCAGGAGCCCCATTGTTCCCATGGTGGCCACTAGGGTGGATAGTGTGGCGGAGGGTATGGCCAGTCCAAGTACCACGAGGAGTGATGTTTGTCACAGTGATAGTAATAATGCCCGGATGCAGTCGGAGAGGAATGTCGGAAAGAGAAAACACTCCTCCGATCATCTTCCCCGAATCCCATGCACTCTGACAGCACAGGAGAATCCATAAGCCCTGGTGAAACATATGGGGAGAATTGTGCAGGAAATGGCTCCCTAGATGGAGGGAGGGGAGCATATCGTTCTCTGTCCCTATCCCGTGCCAGTGGGGAATAAAGGGGATCTAGCAATGCTGATTAGAACTCAATGTGGCATGTCTTCCACCCGTGCCAGGATACCCAAGGGAGGGAGCATTGTGTCTGGTGTTGACTCTGTGGAAGTCAGCACTGGCGGTTTGCAGTGCATGTGCTTAGGTGTCTGTGCAGAGATCTTGGGCACCGGGTTACATGTTAGTGTCAATGCCAGGGATTGCTTGCGAGATCTTCCCAGTGCCGATGATGAGCAAGTCGGCACCGAGACACTGCAGGCAGTAACAGAGGTGGTTCCAGTTGGTGGTCCCTGCACCAGAGGTGCTGGGTTTATTGTCCCTGCTCACCCTTGGAGACAGAGTAGGAGGAAGGGACCTTATAGGAGAAGTTCTCCTCCTTGGGTGCTTTTGGGGAGGAGAAGCAGCCCTTTCCTTGTTAGCCTCCAAAGAGGACGAGAGGTCTCTGGGTCCTCTGAGGGCTGCATAGCTTTTTCAAATACAATCATACAAAGCCGAAGCTCCCTGTCTTTTCTGGCTCTTGAAGTAGTGCTCACACTTCTGTGGTAAACGAGCCTCACCCAAGCAATGTACACATGACAAGTGTCTGTCAGAGACAGGCATGGGATCCCCACATGCCTCACGTTTCTTAAACCCCGGCAAGCCCGGTATTGCGCTGCTGATGGTGACCACGGTTTTCTGGGTAGCAGTTTGGCTTCCTGCCTTGTATTATGATACTTTTTCTGTCTTCCTTTGTGGTAGGTTTGTTGTTTCTGTTCATTTGTTGGTTTTTCGGTTTGGTTTTTTTTTTTTGCGGAAAGTAACAGGATGGGGGGGCAAGTTGTGTGGGGCAAGCGCCGCCACTCCCTCAAACAAAGAAACCTTTTTTTTGTTTCAACAAAACAATAATATATGTGATAAGAGTGACACTAAACTAATAAAACTGAAGAAAACCTTCTGAGGAAAACAAACGCCTGAGGTGAGAAAGGAGCTCCGTCCGCAACCGAGTGTGGTAAGTGAGGAACTGAGAAAGGGTCGGGCCATGCGCACGTGAGGCGCCAGAGCACAAACAGCGTGAGGCACCTCTCATGCATGCGCAGCCCAGCTGACCACTGCTCTGAAAAAGCTCCAATCAGCAGCTCCGGGACGACCCAGCACCAACAGTAGAGCACCCAGAGGGGCATCACTCGAAGAAGAAAGGAGAGCACTGCTGTGACTCCGTCTTCTGCCAATGACGGTAGAAAAGGAGCGGAGGGCAGCTTGCGCCACACGCAGCCAACGGACGAAAAGAGCACGAGGTGGCAACTGCACATGCTCAGCACGGGAAAGTACTGCTAAGCAAAAATCTCTGATCGCTGGCACAGGGACACACCAAGACCTGAGTGGAGCACACAGTGGGACACCACTTGACGGAGAAGCAGAGGTTGGGCTGGGCAGGGCAGCAATGCAAGCAACAGCTCTGGAGAGACCAGGGCTCATGATGCATAGGCTGTGGGGTCTGGATGGCTCACCTTACCATGTGCCCAAGGACACGTGCTGTGCAACCTAAGCAACAGTGGATTCCAATACTGTGGAACAGCCACCACCACAGACATCGGGGCTTAAGCCTCAGGCCTCCACACCCTGCCCAGAAGGGAACATGCTAGTGGAACATCCCTTCAGCCAGCCCACTCACCGCAGTGACTCAAGTGTACCAAGCACAGCCCTTGAGGCAGGGAAGGGGAGGGGACACAGCCAGGCTTGCAGAAATCACAACCATTAGGCCCACAGCCAGCCCTGGTCCCAGCCTGGCTCCTGGGGGCTTGTTCCCTGCTCTATTTTGAGCAGCCTGCAGCCCTGGGGCTGCTGTGCTGGGTCTAGTATTAGCAGCATGCAGCTCCGCTGACTCACTGCTTGTGTAAACTGTCTGTGGTTTCCCTGCAGTGGCTGGGAATGCATATGCCAGCCAAGTTCCCACCTCACCTGATCGTGGCTAAATAAATAAATAAAGCTGCTCGGCCATCTGCCACATGCTTTAACGGCAAACAGATGGGGAAAGGCTGGCATTCAGACTCCGCAGCACAGGGGTCAGGATTGCTCCCCAAACCCACCCTACGCAGCACAGTTACAGGGAGCTGGGATCGCTCTCCCCACTACACCATGTGTCATCTCAGAGACCCCCATAAATGCCTGCACGGATCCCCACAGACATTCACCCACACATGGACTCATACTCTTTCACAGGCTGACATGCATCCTCATCCAGGCCTCCATGTTCTCTTAAGCAGACTTGCCCCTTGTGCTCTTACACATGTGCCTTTGCACTCATCCTTGCACTGGCAAGGAGCACACTCACACCTCCCCCTTCTACGGGTCACATGCACTTTTGCACATGTGCACATGCACACACTTTCCCCAGCATACACACAGCCCCACCCACATACACTCGCACACTACAAACAGGCTCAGTTAGGGAGCCAGGAAGGCTGGCGTGAGGGGGCAGGAAGCCTGGCACGCGACCCAGCTTGGCTGCCGGGGGGAGCTGGGAAACCTGGTGGGGCAGCACGGCAGAGAGCGGGGCCAGCAGCAGGAGAAGACAGAAATGACTCATCCAGGACCAGTCAGGTTCCGAGGATGCCAGACCAGGGAGGTCTAAACTGTTTGGGTAAACAGTGAGAGGGCTGGAATGGATCAAGACCTCAGTCCCTGGAAAGAACATGCAGCAGGTCCTCAAGGAATCCATTCTGAAATACTTGGAGGCAAGGCATGTGATCAGGAGCAACCAACATGGATTCGCCGAGGGCAAGTCATGCCTGACCAACCTGACTGCCTTCTATCATGAGATAACCAGCTCTGTGGATACGGGGAATGTGGTGGATGTGATATTCCTTGACTTTAGAAAAGCTTTTGATATGGTCTCCCACAACATGCTTGCCAGCATGTTAAAAGAAGTATGGCTTTGATGAATGTACTGTAAGGCAGATAGTAAGCTGGCTGGATCGTCAGACTCAATTGCTCAGTGTCTAGTTGGCAACCAGTATCAAACAAAGTGCCCCATGGGTCAGTCTTGGGGCCAGTTTTACTCAACACCTTCATTAATGATATGGATGATGGATTAGTTTGCATGCTCAGCAAGTCTGCAGATGACACTAAGCTGGGAGAGAGGTAGATTTGTTGGGGGCAGGGATAGGGTCCAGAATGACCTACACAAATTGGAGTACTGGACCAAAAGAAATCTGATGAGGTGCAGCAAGGACAAGTGCAGAGTCCTGCTCTTAGAACAGAAGAATCCCAAGCATTGTTACAGGCTAGTGACCAACTGGCTAAGCAGCAGCTCTACTGAAAAGGACCTGGGAATTACAGTGGACGAGGAACTGGATGTGTCTCAACAGTGTGTTGCCAAAAAGGCTCACGGCATATTGGGTGCATTAGTAGGAACTCTGCCAGGAGATTGAGGGAAGTGATTATTCCCCTCTATTCGGCACTGATGAGGCCACATCTGGAGTACTATGTCCAGTTTTGGGGGCCCCATGACAAAGGATGTGGACAAATTGGAGCGAGTCTAGCAGGAGGGACTGGAAATGATTTGGGGGTTGGACACATGACTAATGAGAGACTAATGGAACTATTTCCCTAGGAGGGTGGTGGAGCACTGGAATGGGTTACCTAGGAAGGTGATGGAATCTCCATCCCTAGAGGTGTTTAATGCTCAGCTTGACAAAGTCCTGAATGGGATGATTGAGTTGGGGTTGGTCCTGCTTTGAGCAGGGGTTGGACTAGATGACCTCTTGAGGGCTCTTCCAACGCTAATTTTCTATGATTCCATAAGACACATGCACAGGCAGGATTGCTGTAGGTTCCCAAGTAGCCAACAGCTAATCTGCTAGAGAAAGAGCCCCACACTGGCCTCTTCCTCCTCTCTCCACTGCCTGCCCTGAGCCAAGCTCTAAGAGACCCTGAGGACCTGGCACTGGTTGGAGCCAAATGCTGCCAACAAAGCCGTGGTGACATAGTTCCTTCCCGGTCCCCACTCAGGCCTGGCAAGGTCTAAAGGGCTCTGGCTCAGTCATACCATGGCAGGCCACCTGGTCCCTGTCTGCAATGTCACTACTGCTCATGTTCCTCCAGGTTCAAAACTGATTTCAGAGGTTGTTACAATGAGCCAAGGCGAGGGAGCAATGCCGCTGGCTGAGGTTTCAATTCCATGGGTTAATGGGATGGAACCACCCAGACGAGAGCTCAGCGTCCTCTCCAGCAGGCTCAGCATGGAGCCCACAATGTCACTCTTGGGGAAGATGCAAAGAAATGAAACAGATGCCAGAGGGAAGAGCCCGTGGATGAGAGTAGTGGCAACAGTTTCCTCCCTGGCCCACTTTCTAAGCCCCAGTGCTGGAAGTCTTTTTGGGGGAAGAGGCCTCACAGAGGGGAGGGGGAAGAATGGGAGATTAAAGCCATGAATAGCCCCTCTTCTCCCAAGATTTGTCACATGAGAGGAGATGGTACATCACAGTGCCGTGCCACACCTGTGCACAGTGCTCTTCAAGCAGCCCCGCAATGACCTGTGCCATGCCCTGCAGGAGCCCTGCTCTTGGCCAGCCACAGCTGCAAAGCCACAACCACCTTGTGCTAATTAAAACCATTCCCCTTAGGAAGTAGGCAGATGGTTGCTTCCTCCCCTGCTGCCTGGAGCTGGCTCGTGTTTAAGGGCTGCTGTCCCTGCATAACGTGGCCCATCACCGGCATCGGTCCTTAAACAAACACAGGCCGCTTCTCTCCCTGGGCTTATTTTTAGCACTTATACAAAGGGAGAGGCAGAGGGCGGGGGAAGTCAGACAGAGTGCAGGCAGGGGCTGGGCCGGGCCAGCTAGCGTGCCTCACTCCAGACCTGTGAATGACACAAGGCTCTTCCCTTCCATTGCTCCCACCCAGCACTTCCAGTCTCTGCCACACGGGGCAGCCAAGGGCAGTGGGGTTCCCCCAGACAGATATTTCTCTGGCCCTAGACCCCAATCCCACCACATGGCACACTCATATTTGGGCAACACAGCGGCTTGCTGGGAGATCCATTCTATACTGATTTAATGTACAGGCCTCTCTCCCCTCTTCCAGGACACAGGCTCCACCTGCCCCTCAGACTCCTTTCCCCATGAGACCTGGTCTCCCCATGCAACCTGGAGGGGGCGCGCCTTGCCCCAGCGAGGCGAAGTCCAGCTCCTTGGCACCTCTTCCAACCGAATGCCTCCGGAGTGGGAAAGGACAGCTCTGAGCTGTGACCCCTGGTCTCCCTGACGTCAGCCACCCCACAAGCTCCATGCCTGTGCTCCCCGCTCACCCTGTCTGCATCAGCCAGCAATGCACTGGAAGCCAGCTATTTGTTTATCTTCCTATTCAGCCTTGCTTATTTTGATGGCATATCCTCCCAGCTCAGCCCAGGTCAACCTGTGAACCTTCCGCGTCCTGTTTGCCGAAGCCCTACTCTGCAAGCCAAGTGAGCAGAACGGCCAGAGGCCCAGCACAGCAGCCACCTTGTGCACTGGCCATGGCAGATAAAAATATTCACGGTGAAACATCCTGGGTCACGGGTCTATATTTGAACTGATTGTATCTGTGTGTTTATTCAAGCAGGCTTGATTGCTGCTCTATTGGTGCAGTGCAGCCAAAACAACCTTGGCTCCATAGGCCAAGGCTTCCCTCAAGGCTTCAAGGGTTACTGGGAAGAAAAGCCTGCTGCCCTTCTAGGATGGTTGGGCTCTGTACAGTGTAAAACTAAATTCCACACGTAAGGACAATGTTCCCCTGCTGCCCAGGACTCTTCCAGGGCAGCGAGGTGGGGAGTGGGAAGCAGACTCAGTTGCCTCTCCCCAGGTGCCAAAGCCACAACTGGCCCGCACCCAGCTGCTAATCCCCCAGGCTTCAACCCTATCCACAGCAATAATGGCAGCGTCCACTGCCAACACAAAAATCCACGGTGCTTTGAAATGGAGAAAGGACAGTGCAAAATAAAGTGAATGTAATGAATAACCCAGGGAGGAAACTCAGAGATGCACTGTCTGTAGTCATTCACACTTCTAGTTCATTCATTCATTATCAAAGACCATTTTAGTATAAATGAAGCTGACCCAACATTTCAGCAAGCAGGGACCTTACCACAGAATTTAGGTCCAGCCTCTCTCAGACTTCAAGGGGACTTGGGACAGATTTTTAAAGGCATTTAGTCATCACTGGGCTCCTATCTGCATCTCAAGGTACCTAAATATCTTTGATAATCTGGGCCCTTTAGCTCCATGAAGCCCTGACCAGGGCAGTTAACTGAAGAGCTCCTTATTTACATTTTCGCATCACCACTGGCTTGTTGTGATGATACATGTTGTTGGATCTGTCTTGGTTTGAGCTCTGCCATTTTTCCTCTAGTTGCTCTCTGTTCTGCCTGCTGCAAGCAGCTGCTCATGAATGAATTCTTGCCAAACACCATGAGAGACATTTCCTAAATTTATAAATAAGCCCAGGGCTTTAATGGAAAACATCTCATGATTACTCCAAAAACCCTGAGCCTCTAAAAGTGTGTCTACACTGCAGGGCTTAACTCAAAATAAGCTACGCAAATTGAGCGATGTCAATTGCATATCTTATTTCAAAATAGGAAGCATCTACACAACACTTATTTCAAAACAGAGCACTCTTCCTCCGACTTCCCTTATTCCTTGTACAATGAGGATTACAGGAGTCGGAGTAGGAAGTCCTTCAGCTTGACAGTATTTTGACACTATTTCAGAATAACTAGCTGCTGTGTAGACACGGACTAAGTTATTTCAAAACAGTGTTTCAGTGTAGACACACACTAAGGGAGCACATACCCAGTGAGAAGACACAATTCAACGGCAACGGTCAAAGCATCTCTCAGGTGCATCTGTCCCTACTTCACAGCCTTCATGCAATGAATGGGCTAGGTCTCTCTCTCACTGGGGATTACCATGCTTCTCAACAAGGATCCAATCCAGGGAGCTGGATTTGCAGTTAGAAAGCCATGCAACCAGTCTTACACAGCTGTGCAAAGACAAGTCTCCAATTTCCAGTGCTTTCCACTGGAGATGCCAAGTCAATCCTACCCTGCATCTCTATAGTCAAGATGATAGCTCCTCTCCAGCTGGCAAATTTTCATTATTGTGATTAAACTGATGAAGATTTAAAGTTGTGTTTCACACATTCACAGAGCTTCAGACCAGAAGAAAACAACAAATCACCTGCTCTCACCTCCTTATATCACAGGCTCTAGTTTTTCACCCAGTTACTCCTCTACTGAGCCCAACAACTTATAACTCAAGTATATCTTCCATAAAGACATCCACCCTGGATATGAGGCTATCAAGAGAGAGAATATCCACCACTTTCTTGGGCATTTGATCCCAACTTTTCCATTAATTTGCCCAGGCATGATGTCAGGCTGACAGTGTACAGATACCAGAGTCATCTCACCTGCCCTTTCTGAATGTTGGCATAACATTAGCACTCTTCCAGTATTATGGAAGTCCCATGATATTCCAAGATTTATTAAAAATTCCCATCACCAGGCCAGAGATCTCCTCAGCCAATTCTATTAGGACTTTTGGATACATATTAACTGGGCCTATAGATTTTAAATGTTTCTCCAGCCAATTTCATTCAGTTTTCCTCAGCCTTAAGGTATCAGCCACTTTGAAGCGCTACTTTTGATTGGTACTGTCCACATTAAATACAAGCAGATAGTGATCAGTGGTCCCTAGGAAACTACCAACTTCCAGTCCAGTGATTAATTAATCTTTTTCTGTCATAAGGTCTAACTTAGAGTTACCCTATACTGAACTCGGGATGTAAAAGATTCATCTATTACTCACATTAAAAGCCGGTTCCCGCCAGCACTGTCTCCGTGGTGCTGCTTGCCCACCTGATCCCCACTGCTCCAGCAGCAGCCCCTGTCCGTGGGGAGTCCCAGCAGGGAGTTGGGACCCGCCGTGGACAGGAGCTGCTGCAGCAAAGCAAACCATGTCCGCAGCCAGCCCTGGCCACCATGGACAGGGGCTGCTGCCGAAGCAGCCTCTGTTCTATGGCTGGGGATGGGACCAGCCTCTGCTCACAGCGGTTGGGGCTGGCCACGGACAGGAGCTGCTGGGCCCAGTGCAAGCTGGAACTGTGCAAATCCAGCTCAGTCCTGGCTCATGCCGGGTCCAAGAGCTATCCCCGCTGCGGCTCTGCAGTTTAAATGAGAGCACAGAAATGGGAGTAGCTCCTTCTGAGCACCTTCCCTTATCGACTAATTGTGTAGTCAATATAAATTGTATTGACTACACGATTACCCAATTACCAACCTCTTAATATTCTTATACTGTATACAACACCTTTTGTATTAGGAAATTATCACCTATATTTTTTAGAAACTCCAATTATGTATTCCACTACTATACGAGACCTCCAGCAGAGGTCTCATAGATTGAATTTCCCCATGATAACACAATTCCCTCACAAACACATTTCAGATAGGTGTTTAAGAAGTAACTAATTCTGTTCTCTGTTTGATTTGGTGATATGTAGGAGTCCCCCAGTGGTAACCCTTGTGACGTAGTGGGGGACTGTCTGTTCTGTAACCCGGTGTCCCCCTGCACTGTGCTGTGTGATTCCCACTGATTCACCCACATGTGTATTAGCCCAAACACCTAGGCCCAGCCTGACCAGATAAACTGCTTCCCAGGGGGAGAGACAAAGGGAGGGAGGTGGAGACGAACACCAGGTTTCGGGGGAAGGGTCAGTGGCTGGCTGGGAAACATGAAGGAAAGAGCCTAAACTGAGTGCTGAGGGGCTGGGGGGGAGGGGGCAATGGACTTCCTACCCCAAGGGGTCTGAGGCATCCTGGCCCTGACTCCTGTAACCACATCACGTCTGTGCTGGGCTGTATCCTGGAGAAGCAATAAACCCTCCCTATTCTACTGGCTGGCAGTCTCTGTTCTTGCTGCTACGGAGCTGCAGGATCAGGGGGAACCCCAACTCGCTGTCACACCCCTTCTTATGATTTGTTAGTTAGCACAAAGGACAGGAAAATATTTCATCATCCTTATACAACATAAGCTCATCATCCTGTTTCTTTCCAAAGACAGAGTAAAAATATTTATTTAGCATTTCCACCCTCTCTTACTCATTATTAGCATAGGAACATAGGACACAGGCCTGGAAACAACCTCCTGAGTCAAGTCCAGTCTGCTGGTATCACAGACATCCCCATCATCTCATTCTATACATAAACTTATCAAGCTCGACTCTAAAACCAGAAAGGTGTCTTGCCACTACTCCTCCTATTGGAAGCTGTTCCAGAACCTCCCTTCTCTGATGGTCAGAAACTACCTTCTAATTCCCAAGCTATCTTTACTCCTGCCCATTTTATCCATTTTTGTTCTTGAACAATTAATTTTAGTGTTCTAATGATTGCTCTGGTTTATAAGTCAATGCAATGTTCAGACTCTCTGGAGCTTTCCTTTAAAATGCCACGTTCTCCTCATGTAGAATAGTGATAGAAATGTAGCCGTGTTAGTCTGGGGTAGTTGAAGCAAAATGCAGGACAATGTAGCACTTTAAAGACTAACAAGATGGTTTATTAGATGATGAGCTTTCGTGGGGAAGTGGGTCTGGCCCACGAAAGCTCATCATCTAATAAACCATCTTGTTAGTCTTTAAAGTGCTACATTGTCCTGCATTTTGCTTCACGTTCTCCTCAGTGTGCATGTTTAATTGTGAAGTTGGAGGGGAGGGGGTATGTGCTAAACCAAGTAGCAGGTTGCAATGAACATAGGACAGCAACTTCTATGCACTTTAGCACTCCTCCCATTCCCCTTCTACAGCCCACAGCAGCCACTTGCCCAAACTACAAGTCAGTAAAAAGCTCTCTCAAAAGAGACAAATGTAGGGATACCAGACAGAGTAAGAGTCACCTGGTTTCAGGTAAAGGTGATCTTACAGGAATGCTCCTCCACTCAGTAAACTGGCCCAGATGGTACCTACAACACATCCTCTCCCCCTTGGCTTCCCACTAGCAGTGTGGAACAGATAGGTTCAGGACGAGCTGGACTTTGGAGCATAGCCTCCTTGCCCTTAGCTCCCTTAACCAGGAAAAAGGTAACGGCAGTTTTAACTGTCTCATTAGGGTCCATGCGGTAAAGCCAAGCTGCTGTCAAAATTGGTGACCTCATGGTAGATTTCCTCAGTGGGTAAATGGCCAAGAGCAGTCTTCACTCCATCCCCATAAGCCCTCCCCACCACTCTGCCCCTGACATGCCCCTTCCAAACCACACCAACCTCCTCTTCTCCTGCACGCACTGACCCAGGCCCACCAGTGAGCACACACAGCCAGGCAGCTCCCCAGGCCACATGTGATGAACCCACAGGCCCTACAGAACACTCTGAAAGGTTCCACACCCCCGGACTAACAGCACACTCAACGAGCACAGACAGTATGATGGAGGAGCAGGGCTGACAACGTACATACACTCATCAGTGCCTCTGATTCGTGAGCCAGCTTCTCAGATCTCTCTGCTGATGAAATAGAGACCAAGTCCAAGGACATGGAGCTGGATCCCACAAGGAGATACCGAGGGGAGGACACACTGTCCCAGCCAGTGGCATTGAGCAATCATTCCACTTCCCTGAGTGGGTCACTCCTCAGAATTCCAGCTACAGAAGCACTCATCAAGTATTAACCCTCTGACTTCAGTGCTGCCATCCAACCAGCTCCTTTCAGAGAACCCCACAGACCCAGGCAGTCACTATCCATTCCTGTTCTGCCTCTACCATACCCCAGGCAACTAGCTGTCTGCCTGCCCAAAATGCCATACAAAGAGCAGTCAGCTGAGAAGGCAGCACTCCCCAGTAGCTTGACCAGTGATACCACACTATTCACGCACAGAACAGCAATCTCTTTCCAATTCAAGCATTAAAGGGAACATCTGTCTGGAATTATCCCCAGTTTGTATGAACACACAGGCTTGCTTCTCTCTCAGTTAGCATATGTCCACCCCGCAGGGATGTAGCCCTTGCTGCACAGGCTTCCACATGGGGAAGTTACCTAGCCAGGTGCCCTATCTGAAGCAGACCAGCAGGGTTTTCCATAGTCTCCCAGCAGCACCACATGTTGATATTGCTGGGCGAGTGTTAGGTGGGTTCACAGCTGACTCAGTAGGGCCATCTGGAGAGAAGGGCAGTCGGAACAGTTCTGGGAGGAGGAGAGAGTCTAGGACAGGGGTCAGCAATCTTTTCAAATCAAAGAGCCAAAGTACATCAAAATTCAGAACAAGTGGTCAACAAAGAACCAGTATAAGAATGCCCATTTGCATGACTGAAAACATACAGCTTAATGATAGAAATGGAGCCGTGTTAGTCTGGTGTAGCTGAAACAAAATACAGGACTATGTAGCACTTTAAAGACTAACAAGATGGTTTATTAGATGATGAGCTTTCGTGGGCCAGACCCACTTCCTCAGATCAAATAGTGAAAGAAAATAGTCACAGCCATATATACCAAAGGATACAATTAAAAAAAAAGTGAATACATATGAAAAGGACAAATCACATTTCAGAACAGAAGGATAAAGGACTGGCATTCATGCTAAAATTCGACACTCTCCGCGGGGGGCTGAACAAAGACCCCAGCTATCTTACCCATTACAAAGATAGCTTCCCCAATTATCACCTCTAATACCATTAACTCACAGACATCTACCCTTCCCCATCTCTAATATCATTAACTCACAGGCATTCACCTTCCTTTCCCCCCCTCCCCGCATCCCCCTTCTGTTCTGAAATGTGATTTGTCCTTTTCATATGTGTTCATTTTTTTTAATTGTATCCTTTGGTATATATGGCTGTGACTATTTTCTTCCACTATTTGATCTGAGGAAGTGGGTCTGGCCCACGAAAGATCATCTAATAAAGCCATCTTGTTAGTCTTTAAAGTGCTACATAGTCCTGTATTTTGATACAGCTTAATGCTACTGATGATTGACATGAGTACTAGCACGTATGAAACACTGTACTCGCAGACTTTATTTAATGGGACTTCTGCTGCTGCTTAGGGTGATGTTTGTGGATGGGGGGTGCAGGAGTCAGACTGGAGCATATGAAGAGAACAGGGCACAGGGTTGGGGTCTGTGGGAGGTACAAAATGCAGAGCACTGGGGGTGGGACGTAGAGTATGTGGGGGCCCTGCGGCCGAATTACCTTACCTGGCTGGATAAGGGGCTGGGCCAGGATCGCCACAGCCAGATCGTGGCCTCCCCTCCTATCCATGCCACAGCAGGAGGGGGCCACCCTCACCACCCTTCCTGTGCCCAGATGGGGGCCAAACCACAGGGCCTGCCCCAGGATTGAGGTCAGGTTAGGGTTAAGGTCATTTTGCTGAGGCTGCAGCTAGGGAGAAGTTTAATTTAACCAGTAATAAAGGAAATATTAATCAAAATTATTAAACAGACTAAGCACTTTAACTTTCCCACGTTAGTTTACCAAACTTCATTTTAAATAAAGTAAAATATTATATCCAACACAAAAGGTTTCAACATCGTCTTTATTTATGGCAGGGGTGGGGAACCTTTTTGGGTCGGTGGCCACTGACCCACAAAACAAATCAGTTGGGGACCACACAAGTTAAAAGCAAAAAAAAAAAACATACCACCACCACACCACCCCAATTGAGATGTGGCCTCCAACTGAGATGCCTCACTCGCCTTGTGCTTCAGCCCTAAGGAGGATGGGGAGGGCAGGAAGGACTGAGGTTCAAGGCATCAGGTCAGATTAACTCTCCTGGGGTTTCAGGGTTAGTGCATTTTGTGGGCCCCTCAATTTGCTCTGAGGTGGGGCCAAAAATGAGTTCAGAGTGGGGGACAGATCCCACTCACTGGCAGTTAGGGATGGGGGAGCAGGAACTGGGCAGGAGGTAGAATGCAGGAGGTGGTGAGGGTGCAAGTTCTGGGTGGGAGATAGGGTGCAGGACTAGGGTGTCTAGCTCGGAGGAAGGGTGCAGGAGCAGGCTGAGGGTGAGTAGCTGTCTGGCTGGGGGGAGAGGGCAGGAGCAGGCTGGAGGTGAGCAGCTGTCTGGCCGCAAGGAGGGTGCAGGAACAGGGAGGAGGGGACAGGAGCAAGCTGAGGGTTGGTCTCTTGCCAAGGAGAAGGGGGCAGGAGCAGGCTGGGGGAGCTGTCTGGCTGGGGGGAGAGGGCAGGAGCAGGCTGGAGGTGAGCAGCTGTCTGGCCGCAAGGAGGGTGCAGGAACAGGGAGGAGGGGACAGGAGCAAGCTGAGGGTTGGTCTCTTGCCAAGGAGAAGGGGGCAGGAGCAGGCTGGGGGCAGATGTCTGGCCAGGGGCGAGGGGGCAGGAGCAGGCTGTGGGTGCAGTGTCTGGGCATGAGGAGAAAGAGGTGGGGGCACTTGCTTTCGAGCCCCACACTGCTCCCAGCACTGTGTCGAAGGATTGGGAACGGGAGCAGCAGGGAACAGCTTCCAGGCAGTGAGTCTGTTCATGCACTGCTACTCTCACTCCCCTGGCTGGGGGGGAACAGCAGCACAAGTTGCCGCTCCGCTTCTTCCCTGAAGTCATGCAGTGAGGCTTGGGGCTCTTGAGGTTTGGGGCTCTCACACACCCCCTCCCCCTTGGCTAGAAGCCGGCGCTCTAATCTTGGGGGGCAGGGGAGACGTGCCAGCCTCACATCTCCCCTGCCCCCCAAGATTAGAGCGCCGGCTTCTAGCCAAGGGGGAGGGGGTGTGTGAGAGCCCCAAACCTCACTGCATAACCACTATGGGGGCCACAAAGGGGGACTGAGCTTGAGCTTGAGCTGTGAGCTATATTTGGCCCCGTACTGACTCATCTTTGGCTTGCAAGCCATAGGTTGCCAACCCCTGATCTAGGCTGAAAGGCCTAGAGAGGAGTCCTAGGAGCAACCCAGCTTGGGGAGAAGGGCTGAACTGAATATTATGTTGTTTTAGGGCTCAGTCCCAAGGTGGGAGCCAGGATGGTTTCAGCTTGACTCCCAATAGGCCATTTCTCCACATAACGCCAGAGACATATGCAAGCGTCTGGAGTGACAACAGCAACTGCTGCTTGTTTGTTGCCTCAGGACCAGACAGAGTGAGACCCAGACCCATTATACTGCCCTGGTCTGAACCAGCAATGGCTTTGTCTCACCAGACTGCCCCCAAGCCAACCCTTGCACACCACAGCCCACTAACTCGAGCAGGAGGTAGACCAGCATGCTAAGCTGGGCCTACCAGAGTGGGTGATGGCCCAGGATGCTAGGCTGAACTAACCCAAGCGGGTGACAGCTCAATAACTTGAATGGCCTAAAGCGTGTTGACATAGGACACGGTAGCCACCTAGCCACATGTGGCTATTGGCCGGTCAAGTGGGGCTAGCTGGTTTGAACAATGTGGCTATTTGGCCGGCTGAGCGTGGCAAGTTTGCTATACCAGTAGCCACTATAATGGCTATTGCTTCAGAACTGGTTGGACACCACGGACACGGACAC